TTCAAATTCGGAACTGATGGACCCGCCAGAAGATCCATTAACGACAAAGTTACATGTTTTTGAAAACACATCTATACAGGAAGATACATCAATATTAGATTATTGCAAAAATACAACCATTTAAGCATGGTACTTTACTATCGAAATGGGAACTTATGGAATGAGTCGAACTCAATTTTATCTTAATTTCTTGAGAGTCATTTTTGACAATGGAAAGCGTGCGCAGAATTCAGTACTCATCATGAGCAGTTTAATGTAAATCAGATATAGGTCTTTTAAAACAGAGTAGCTGTAATTCATGGTTACCTTATATCTGAAAATTTTCTGTCGATTTATGATACAGTGGAATTCCGATTTCTCAAACCCTCATTTTCAAGAACCTCCCGATGACTCCAACCAAAAGTCCTTCCCTCTCCTCGGTCGAACACTAAAATTTCAGCTCCAAATTCTCCAACTATCCGATTTTTCGAACCAATTTTCGTTTCCTTTGGAGGTTCAAAAAATCGGGATTCCACTGTATTTTAATTGTCCTGTATTTATCAGACCCGTGAGTTTATGTAAAAATAAATCAAAAATTTGGTCAGGATGCCATTAGCCTTGCAGTAGTACTTCATTGTGCGCCAATTTGTTTGCACGGATAATTTCTAAGGGTTTTCATAGTCCACTATCTTGAGGTTTTACCCATACAACTGCAACATTAGTCAACTTTACGTATTATTTTGATAGTACTGTCCACAAATGACTTACCTTGCGGTTTGCACAATAATATTGCAATCAAGATTGGTGCTGTATAAAACCAGCGTTGCATCTTTAACTCAGTGGAACAACTCCAATGATATGAACTGAAATGATATGAATGTTCTCAAGCATGGTAGATAAATCTGTGAGCGGCAAAGCTGCGTTGCAGGGATGTAAACGTGTATATGAAAACGCCTTCCTCCTCAAGCAATGCTTTAATCTCAGGCCAACTGAAAGTCACAGTTTACGTCAATATGGTCATATTATTTTAAGTTTTCC